AAATTTTCAAAAAAAAAATAAAAAACAATTATTTATAGCAAATAACTAATGCAAACTAATGCATAATTGTAAAAAGAGTTAAAAAAATTGTTTTTTTTTATTTTGATGAAGATTATGCAATGTTCAGTTGTGTGCAATTGTTCCTTTAATTCTTTTGCAAAACTTTGATCAATCGGTCCGAGAAAACGGTTTGATGGATTGATTTAAAAATTAGCAGGGCTGTGGGGAATACTTTGAGCTGTAAAACCACCTAAAAACATTAATTTCCCCATCAATATTTGTAAATACGCGGTAGATGTACTAAAACAATGCAGAAAGTTACTTTTTTCTCTTTTTTTCAAGTCAATGTTTTAGAGTAAAAAAATTGTTTTTGAAAAAATCATTAAAGGATCTTGTAAGACATTTATTTCAGTTTTTGGAACTACTCTTAAATTCTCTGTGCGGTTATTGGTTGATGAGATATCGATGATCATAGACAAAAGGATCCTTTTTTTTTCATTAAAAGTCAGATATCTCAGAGACAAAATGACGTAAGAGAATATAAAAAAAGAATATTAAAGCCGAATGAACAGGCTATCCGGCACATTCATTGATATAACTAAAAAAAAATCCCCAAGTCCGTGGACCAAAAACAAAAACAAAAAAAATACAATTTTTTTTCCTGCACTTGCGTGATAACTGTAGCACAGAAAAAAAAATTGTCAAAAAATCTCAAAACTATAATCTTAAAACCTTAGAATGGTTTTAAAAAAATCTAGATACAACTACTTTTCGATGAAATACAGCTTTTCAAATTTTGGAAATATTTTTGTTCCTTTAATTGTTTTGAGTAGTGTATAATAATTCTTTCAAAGTAAGACAAATATTCTAATCTGGCACACATTTACCTTCAAACTTTTAATTAACCCTCAGACAATTTACGTCCTCTTACCCTCGTCCAATACCCTTTTGAATGTTTAAATTCTCCTTTCAACACGTATAGCCAAATAGTTTTCCGGCTGCGCTCAAAACTTGGTGTAATTAATCACAAATTTTGACCGATTTCCAACAGGTCAGCGTTGAAGAATGGGCCTCAATGTGGAACGAATACGCCAAGAATCCGGAAAATGCATTAGAATGGCAAACACAGTATTTGAGGTTCATGTTTGACTTAGAAGATGCCAGTGGCGATGGCAGCATCGACGTTGATGAATTTACAAGTGTATGCTCCTGCTACGGTCTCGAGCCGTCCGAGTGTAAAGAAGCTTTTCAGAAAATGTCTTGTGTAAGTATTGGTGAAAATTCTTTGCCAAGTTAGATGTATCACGTCGTTTCTAGGGCAAGAAAGAAGTCAACTATGAACAGTTCCAGGCTCTGTGGAAGCAGTTTTTCATGTCGGAAAATCCCTCCGATCCTGGAAATTATATTTTTGGGAAAACTAAATTTTAACCGATTTGTGTTTGAAAATGATTGTATAAGCGTCTCGTACCTTTTCCTTCAAAGTGTCGCTATGAGAACACTGAGATAGATAAATATATCAGTATAAAAATTGTTACCTATAATTATGTTAATCCAAGAACAATTTTATCTTAATCTCATTCATAGATTCTTACACTATCCTACTATAACTTGTATTGTACATAAACTGCAACACTGGTTGACATCATTTGTTTGCCTTTTTTTAGATAAACATCGATTTTCATCAACGCACCATAGATCATACTAGGCACAAAGTATTTGCAATTTTCTATAAAATAGATATTTTTCCAGTTATTTAGCCGTAGAGCTCATGTAAACATTTAAAAATTATCCACATTCCGTAAAAGTGTTGCAGTTTTTCTTTTATGAAACTACTTTCCTGGATGTGACTATAGAAAGGGTCTTTAAATATATCGGTCAGAAAAATGGAACTAAGTAATAAAATACAAAATTTAAGTAAAGACAATATTCAATACTCAATTAATGAAATGAAAATGCACAGCCGGTATGTGTTAAGGATTCTGGTCAATATTTTATATTTGTCACTGAAACTGTTTATGGATACTCGTAAAACGGAGGTATATCTACCTATGTGTAACAGAAATAAATGGAACAATATGTTTTTTGTGTTACATTGTAGTTTTAGTTATTCCCCCTAAAAATTTATAGTTCAATCTTCTACAAAGTGGTGACAATTTTGTTCTCATTAACTACAGCACGTATTTATGGCATTTCAGCATTTTCAGCAACACTGTTCAAGCATACAGAGAAGATTGTATTATCCTATTGAGGATATTTAGGTAGGTATTGTCGTAACAATTGCCCTAGATTACTTGTTCAAGTGTTGAAGAATTTCATACAAATGTAGTTGTTATAGCCAATAAAATATTTATCAACTATTTAAATATATAGCATAGGAGATGACAGCCATAAATCAATAAATGGTGATATACAATGCAAAAAAACCTTTTTCGTTATATATTTTTCCACAAATAATTACTACTAAGTAAGGCCCCTTCAGCACACAACATTTTTTTTTATTTGCCCTGTTTTTAAGGTGAGTTTTAAAGAGTAACATTTAACACTTACCCCTATTTTCAAAGTATATTAAAAATGTTAAAATTTGTCTTCGGTTCATGAGGCTGTGCTGAAGTTCAAGATATTTCTGCTTGTTTGCATCAAATGTATAGGCAACCAATTAAACAGTTTAGTACCAAAAAGTAGATTTTGATATCGTTTATTGAAAAAATAACCGTGTCTGCTAATTTTCTCAAGAAAAAGTTATAATAAAGTGAGAAAAATTATGAACAAGCAGTTTATGTAGATTTAAATAACAAATTTGTTAGAAATAACATTTTAAAACTAAATATTACATAATTGTAAAAAATCGAATGTTGTAAAGAAAACTGAACCTTATATTCTAATAAAAATTGCAATCAATTTTAAAACTAAAAATTACATAATTGTAAAAAATCGAATGTTGTAAAGAAAACTGAACCTTATATTCTAATAAAAATTGCAATCAATGTTTTTATTTATATTTTTTGGTGTGGTGCGGGAGAATAAAAAAGGTGATTAAAAAAAGAAAAATTGTCACATTCTTTAATTAGAATTTCTTCAACAAACAAGTGTAATATAAGAAATTGTTAAGTATATAAGGTAAGAACAATAGTACTTTACGATATAAAGAAACAAATATTGTAAAAATCTAAGTATGTTCTATTAAACAGAAATAACAAGTAAAAAATATATCTTATCCTAAAGAAACCCCAAATCACTAGCATAACTTAACAAATAATCACACTAAACTATTTTTTAAGCATTATCTTGAACAAATTATTCCTGAAATTATTAACCATCCTTTCATACTCTTCAACTTGTGCTTTAAGCTTGACATTTTTCTCGTACAACTCATCGGCTTCTTTCTGTAGAGACATTTCTTTCATTTTCCTCTTCAATCTCGATTTTCTCGAAGCTTCGTTATTCTTATCTCTCAGTTCCCTGTATTTTGAAGCATCAGAGTGGTCGGAACTGATCGATGATGTGCGTCTCGGAGGTCGCCCTCTTTTAGTCGGCGACACTTCTACTTCACTTTCGGAATCTGAAGAAATCGGCTCTATTTTGTCGGGTTTTTTGGATGGAGGAACGTAATCTTCATCGTCGTCTTCGTAGTGTTTGGTTTTGCGTCTGCGACGTTTTGGAGCAATGTTTTCGATTTCATTATTCAATTCCCTGGATGTTGATGGGTGTTCAAAATGGATATCCTCTATGTTTACCGTTGTTACATCCTGTAATACATTGTTAGTAAAGAATTTGGGGTAAATTTTGGGAAAACTTACTTTTTCATTGACGTAGTCGAGGATGTTGAAGCTTGTCTCTAGATCGACTACCGAGTCAATGACGTCAGGAGTGTTTAGTACGATTGGTTGGTTGAATGAGAGATTTAGTTTCAGTTTGGGCACTTTTTTGGGCGATATTTGAGTGGCGCAGCTGCTGTTGCTGTCTTCCGGTGTTTCAATTCCTAGATTTGTCCTGGAATAGTCGTTATTTGGTGATGATACGTTGGAGTATTGACCTTCAATGTTCGTCATGTTGGTATTCACAGAATACTCATTGCAAGGCGAAGAAACGTTCGAGTACTGATTTTCGTTACTGTTTACACTTATAACACTAGTAGTATCTTCAACTTTAAATAGAGCACTAATTTGATCTTCACTTTGCACATGTCTTGGGGTTTCGTTTCCATTAATTATGTAGATATTTCCCTGATCTGACTCAGATGTTGCGAACAGGATATTAGCCTCAGAACCTTGTACGATGTTAACTATTTCACTATTGTTGTTTTCTTGGAGTTGAACGTTCACAGTGTTCGAATAAACTGAAAAGTCATTGATTTGCTTGTTTGAAAGTACACTATTACCCGTCCGGATTGTGTTATATTCAAACTTAAAAGGATCTGCGGCTGGTGGTGATTCTATAACTGTATTTTCATGTACCATAAAATTAAACGGTCCTTTTCGATCTGCAACAAAATTATTAGAATTCAAAACGATGAAAAATCTCAAGTAACACTCACCAAAAATCGGCGTATTTAGTTCATCTGTAGAATTTATCGTTGTCTTTTGTGAAAACTCGGGAAGAAACGGCGCAAGATCGCTGAATTCCTCCATTTCGAGCTTGATCGGTTTTCCAGTTGAGACGCTCTGAATTCAAAAATTAGCCCCAAAAATTTAAAAACTGGTAAAAATTTACCTCTTCCTGTACGACTGACGCCACTGACGTACCACTTATCGGGTTTACGTCGTATGGATTGACGCAATGGAGTGCTGAAGCTTCCATGTCTGAGAAGTCCAAATTTGTATCCACGGTAAGTATAGGGCTTAGTGTGGGAGATTTCTCGCCATGATGGGCAGGTGGCTGATAAAACAGCAGCGGATTCCATTTTGACAGGGACTGGAAACACAAATCCAACATAAACCCCAAATTCGCAACACTTTTTGAAGAGTTGAAGAGGTGTTGCACTAATCAACTATTGGAACGCAATGACTTAAACTGCAAGCGTTCAGTCAGATAAAGTTGGAAGGAGATCGCGTTAGAACACGTATGGACTTGTTATCTGATGCCGGCGTTGTGGGTTCCAAGAATCGCCGGCGATTTTTTTAGATTATTTCATAACATGATAAGATGCAAATTGTTGAATATATTACTCACATTAAATTCGCCTAGTCCTTTTTTAAAAATGTTGACTCCTGGGGTCTTCACCAGTTGAAGAGTTGAGTGCGCGAAACGCTCAACCTAAAACAAAAAACGTAGTTGTTAGTTTTTGTAAATCTACTCACTTCTTCAGAAATTAAACATTAATCATCAAAACTAAAAAACAACAAAACAACAACAAAAATATTGCAACTTTAAAGTAATAATTTTGTTGTAGGTATTTTAAAAATTATTTTATTTTTTATTTACTTACACTTGAGTGAAAAAAATCCGCATATTATCAAAAGCAAAATTGACAAAATTTTCAGAGATTTAAATAATGTGAAAAAAGTTATTAAAAAAAAAGGATAAAAAACTATCAAAAGAAATGTTGTCACAGTGGGTTTTGAAAACGAAATGGAAAAACATGCAAAAACTTGATAGAAATTTAGAAGATGACAAAGACAACGTCAAAAACTGGTATTTATTAACATGCCAAATTAGATTATAGAAAAAAACAATTTCAGTTTTTTTTTGCACTCAAGTGTACAATTTTTAATTATTACAAAAAAAAAATAATATAAATATGATCAAATTTGACGCTATCTGGCTAAATTAATTTTTGAAACATTGGGCTAAATAAAAAAATTAATAATAGTGTTATCTCTGATGAGATAGTATAGCACAAATAAGTTACAAAAATAATAAAAAACAGAGTGATTATTTTAAAATGTGAGAATTAGGTAAAAACTTGATTTTGTAGTTGGTTAATTTAAAAAAAAAATTGAAATAAAAACTAAAAGATGAAATTTAAATTTTATATTAAAAAATAATAAACAGAAGTTCCAAATAAAACAAATTAATATTGGAGATAAAAATATAACACAAATTTAGAAAAAACTGCAAAACTGCAGCGACAACATATTTTTAATAAATTAAGTAAAAACTTGATTTTTGTGGATTTTTTTTAATCAAAATAAAAATAAATAAACTACGAGAGAAATGTTAAATTTTAACATCAATAAAGGAATAAAGTCACATTTGAATCATTATATGGCGCCAGGTTGAGAAAATTAAACATTGATAAAAAAAAAAAGTAAATACAACAACGAAGAATATACAAATTGTCGTCAAACTATTTTTTAACTCGGTTGTTAATCGAGATAATGCGAAAATAATCAGCTCGAACAAATAAAATTATCTATTATATTCCGCGAATTCCGCGAGGTCATCTGACGTCACAACAACAAGTCTGTACAAGTTTTCGCTTCCAAGGTCACCCGTAAAGAACCCTAAACCAGATCAATACCTTTGTTTACAAGCAAACTTCGCAATTAACCGAAACGACTGAAAATTTTCATTAAATTATTGAAATTTATTATTGCACAATATTAAGTAACCGGTTAAGTAAATAAAAGTGTTCTTACTCTAGGCTTTCCTCGTCCTTTTTGGCCAAAACTGTGTTGTGCTTGATTCTCGTTTCCCAACAATTTAACTCGAATTTTTACAATAAGCTCGAAAAGTTTGGGAAATACGCTTTTGAACGCTTGAAGAGTTAACTAGAGGCGAAAGCGAGTGTGAAAAACACGTCTACATTCACCAAAAGTCACTGAAATTGTGAACAAGATGGCGGACGACAGTGAACTTTAGATGGATGCGTACTTTCTCCGTCTTTGTTACACTCATGAAAAGTTGCAATGGAGGACGAATACTCGAATGTGATTTGCTAAAGTGACGTCAGACAGGACCAATGAAAAGTTTCGTGTCACGAGACTTTCCAGTGACTCATCCTTACGAAGCAATTTCAAGCTGTTTTTCGGACTTCTCGGAATCAGGCGATTATATAAAATTGAGATGATTTTCAAAAACGCAAATAATTACTTAACTAATTACGTAATTGACAATTATCTCAACTAAAACTTTAAAATAATTAAAAATTACACTCACATCTCCATAGTGCCCCTTGTCATTGTAGTATAATGATGACCTCTTTTACCACACTTTCTTTTAACAACACAATAAAAAATGTTTCTCGTATTTGAATTAAATCCAATTATTTGAGATTGATTCGTTTTGGAATTTTGCATAGCCAAGTCAGAAACGCACATATTATAGGGGTGCGGAAATTTAAGAAATAAGTTTCCACGTGGCAACTTTTCCCTTATCAGCAAATAAATTAAAGTACAACAAAGGGAACAAGTAGGTACCGTTATCTACCTACACTTATCAACAAAAAGCAATTGACAAAAAAATCAAGAATCTGACAACTTCTCTGTGAATTTTAGTTTGGTCACAATATTAAAATGATCACAATTTTTTAAATTAATTTTTAAATGCGGAAAGACGACTGAAACACTGGCCAAAGCTCTGACAATAGGGTTTAAGACGTGGGAAAATTAATTCATGTGAATTTGTGTTTTATGGTGGGGCAGATAAAAGCTTTCTATTGGTTGTTGGTTGCTATTTGTCCACATACTCCTCTACTCAGCGAATGGAGGAAAGCTGATGCAATGTGGCAAAAACAAGAGCTCATCTTCGGCATGTTTTGTATATTTTTATTTGGGATTGCGGACATGGGAGTTATTTTGGTAGATCAATGCCCGAAAAAAAAAGGATTCAGTCAATACAGACATAACAATTATTTGTTTTGGTCATCAATTGTGCAATTTGAAAATAAGTTTGTACTTGTATCTACTTGCCTATTACATATTGGCATATTTTCTTTATCTTAGAGTAGGTACCTAGCTAATAGTGTAACCACTTAGGTAATAAATAAATTATCTAATTATCTGCTTTGTTTTACTAAATTTAGACAATCTTTAGAGATAAATGAAAAATATACTTATTTGATAATAATTGCAATTTTAACAATATTACTCAGCACTGCCACTTATTCAATAATTGGTAGAGGTACCACTTATTCATAGGTAGGCATATTGGTATTATTTAATAATTAGATTAAAATTTAATTGTCTAATTACAAAAAAAACACCATTCTAATTTTTTAAACTTTGCTTATTTATTGAACGTTTTTTTGGTGATCTTTGCAGTATTGATTACAAAATTTCCAAGTAGTTTTTATGAATTTTATAAAGTAGTTTTCTTACTTTAATGCAATTTTTTTACGACAACAGCCGACATAATTTGCTGATTTTTATACAGTCGTTTGATATCAGTAAATTTTTCTTTTTTGCATAATTTTACGTTGGATTATTTTAGGTTGGATACTTGTACTTTGGATTATTTTACTTTGGACAATTTTGTATGCGTCCATATTTTTTTGAAGTCCCTAAATTTGAAAATTAACAAATAAAAAATATAGGTTTTGGAAAGAATAGAACATTTTTATTAATTTTATCTGAGACGAGCAAACGATTCATAACAAAAAACTGTTCAACTTTGATCAAAGAAGTGCCTATTGTAATATCTTCAAGAATAATGAAATTATGGCTTGGGACGTAACTGCAATAATTAATTAATTAATTGTTTGTTCTGTTATTTAATATAATTTATTGTTTCACAACTTAGTTTCATTCTGTATCAGGTTCAAGGTTACTGATCACATGCACATTATTACATTATTTATAGTTGCTAATGTTGATATATTTAAAAGACTGTGCAAACTATGTAGTAAATAGGTATCTACCTAATAATAAGGTCAAATGAGTTTATAAAAAAAAAGAATGAAAAGGATGGTTAATTATTATTGAAGCGGCATAAAAAAAATATGTTGCTTGTGATGTTAAAGGTCAATAGTTACTTTTAACATAAACAAACTACCTAATATTATCAGATATCACCCCTAATGGGATCAATAGTGGTAGAGTAATCAACCTGCTCTTGACGTAATATTACAGGCGCAAAATAAACCTGTCTAAGTTTATGCAAGCAACAATTTGCATAATTATTTACTTTTAAAAAGTTTGGTACTTGGATATGGTGAAAGAAAATGTTTTGTGTCATTATGAATATTTATTATAATCACCTGAATTTATGATAAATCTACAAAACATGGAATATATATTTTCAATATAAACTCTTGTATGTTGCAAAAATTAGAATATGATAACAATGTCATTTCATCTAAGTACACGTATAAATTATTACAGATAAAACTAAGACTGTGGTCTGCTAATAAGTGCAGAGAAATAAAGGAAAGCAAATATTTAAATACTGAGAAAAGGTTTTGACGAAACAGAATTACAAATTGGAATGTATATCCTAGTCATAATAGAAAAAAATTACAATTTTTTACTAATTAAAATTTTATTGAGATCAATTGTTCTCAATTTGTGGCTTAAATATCAAACATGAATAAAAAAATAGTTTTTGCATGTGACAATATTTTATCAACTCATTTATTTTTCTATAACTGAAAAGTTGAAAAAACAAATCTTATATTTAAGCCAGTAACATTACTTAATTATTTCACTAATAACATCGACTTTGGTTAGTTATTTGATAATCTCGTGGCGAATCGCAAAACAGCTACCGCTAGGAATTTACAACATTACAAAAATGTGAAATAACAAATTTTAGACATATTCCGACTTAACGATACACCACAAAATTACCAAATAAGCTGCAAAGTAACGGATGTTCGAACATTTACTAATGGATTACAGGATTTTAAAGACTGTTCAGCATAACACTGTTTTTTCTCTAATTATATTTATTTATTAATAAACTAGTTACCGCCACATGCAATATTTACGATTTTCTTAGTTAGCTTTTTACGATCGTAAATATTACGTACTGTACGTCAAATTCCTACGGTTTCAGGAGTAAAATATAACACGATATAAATACTTATCAATATGTATACAAGTCATGATATGACAGATGAGATTCAATTTAAATTGTTGTGTGTACACTTTTCTAAACTGTATAAATGTAAAATTCTGTTTTTGCAGCTGATAACTACAAAATTTCACTCCACTTTCTCACAGCTCCATTTTTTATAATCATATATTCTGCTTCATGGCAGTGTAATTTAATACAAACTGTAGATATTTGATAGGTATATTGTCATTCGGATTTATATATCTTGTAAATTGCATATCAAAAAACAAATTTCAAATATTGTAACCAAAAAAATTTAAAAACTTACAAATATAAAGTAATACCAACAGAAACCACAGTTAATATAAATATGTACAAAAATATATATATAAAAAATATTAACAAAAATTATATAAAATTCTACTAAAAATCTAAATTAAAGCCAGAGTCACTGTCAAATGAGCTTAACAACTCCTGATCAGTAAATGCTGTTGAATCCGTTGTTGGAAGATTTTCTAAAAATTCGAGACCGATAAAGTCCGTGGATTGAGAATTGAAATTATTTAATGAATTATTTTGGTTGCTTGATGAATTATTTACAAGTTGATTGTTCATGTTCTGCTGGAGTGTCTGATTGGTCACTGTCATTGACTGGGTTTGTTGCATATGGATACTTGATATGGACATCTAAAAAACAATCATTATCTCAAATTACGAAAAATAAGTCTCCAAAATACCTGAGAATTCTGTTGTTGTTGTTGTTGCTGCTGCTGCTGCATCATACTCTGTTGCTGTTGCATGTGATTCAACATCTGATTCATGTTATTCATTTGTGACATGGGACTACCACTCTGACCCATCACTTGGGCCTGACCCATACTTTGCTGACTTCTGATTTGCTGGTGCTGTGCCGAAAGCTGCATATTTCCGGCGTTCATGTTAAAACCTAAGCAAAAATAATAAATTAAAACACAAGTTACCCAAGACACGAAAATCACCTTGTTGCATATTTGGCCTCATCTGTGGATTAAAATTAGTATTCTGCTGTTGCATCAGCAGATGTCGCCACTCGGTATTCCCATGTTGCATAGCATCCATTCCGCTGAGCGGTCCTTGCTGTCGCGGGTACATATTTCTCGAAATCATGTGCTGTTGCTGTTGGTGCTGCTGCATCACATACATGTTGTGTGGACGAATCATTGGACCCGAAGGTGGCATAGGCTGTTGTGGCATCCTCCGGATATTAGGAGGCGCTCCTGCAAATCTGGGTTGCACTCCCTGCATCATTCCTGCACTACTCTTGTAATCCGGTGGTGGTGGCCTAACCATATGTTGTTGCAATGCGGCTTGTTGCGCTCGCATCATTTGCTGTTGTTGGAGAAGTTTCTGTTGCTCGAGTTGAGAATTCATTAAGCGTGGTCCCATTCCGCCTTGACCTCCCATAGGTCCTGGTCCCATTGGCCCATTTGGTCCCATATTATTTGATACGACTGTAAAACAACCCTGTGTAATTTTATCACAATATTGGTGATTTTCTTACCATTGGGTCCATTGGCACGTTGCCTTAAGGTTTGTTGGGTAAAGTTAATGGTCTGGCTTTGTGACATGGAATAACCGTCCGGCATCTGTCCTGATAAGTTCCCGTTCCCACCCATCGTTCCAGGATGATGCATTCCAGGACCTCCCATCATACTTTGCATACCACCCATTGATCCTTGTTGCGAATTCGGCATTTGTTGGTTGTTGGACATCATGGGACTGCCCATCGTCGGATTTTGGTGTTGTTGTTGTTGATTGCTATTGGTGTGCATTTGTTGGTTCTGTTGTTGGTTTGATGAAAGTGGGTTTTGTTGAGGAACGTTTTGTCCGTTCTGAGATTGAGACGAGGCACCATTTGTAGTATGTTGATTAAAGTGCATTCCTTGTTGTGTCGCGATGGACACATTGCCTTTCAAGTCGCCGCTTAAATGAAGGTGTTGACCAGCCGACACCTAATATGACATTTACACATTAAATAAGCAATTATAATGAATCACAAATAAGAAAAATGGTAACTTTCCCAATTAGATTAAAAGCGTAAAATAGATGGAAAATGAATCACGCGACCAAGCCTTAAAAATATCAAAAGTTTATGCGAAAAACGGACCAAGAATTTTAAATAAAATCACTAAAACCCGACAAGAATTTAATTTGTAACACAATTTTACAGACATTCTTGTAAAATAGAGTAGCAAACTGATTAATTTAATCAAAAATTTTTCAGTGAATTAAAATTGTCTGTCTATAATACCAATTGTAACAGTAAGCTTAAACTGAAAATAGATAAAAAAATTCTTTAGTTAGCAGTAAAAATATGCCAAGATTCCAAAGATAACATTATGTTTACGTTATTCCTTATTAAAATAATTAATGTTTTTTAATAAAATCGTACACAAAACAGATTATGTAAAACGCAAATGTATTTTTTAGTTTGCATTTTGCAGGAATTTTAAATATATCTAGTTATTTATCAAGTAAAACATAACGTCCATCGTATCTTTATGTAATTTTTATGATTCACTTTAAAATTTTTGACAAATTTACGTTGATTGGCCTATGATTATTATTGTCGTTTGAATGTAGATAGAATAGAAATTTCTAAAGTCGTTAAGTGATATAACTTTGACATTCAAGCTTGCAGTTTTCATAACCATGGCTCGGAAACGGTAACAATGCAAAGTTTCTCAATAAGAATTCGAAACTCCTTGCATAACGCTGCAATTATAGGCAAAAATTTGTCTATTATTAATCTCGTGCACACTCTAAGCGATCAGTAAAACTGAAAAACGAGAAAATTAATTTCAAAATCTAACGGTTCTAGTCGACGTTTTCATAAATTAAACACGAAAATTCCGTATAGCACAATCTAATACGGGCATAAATTATAAAATGAACTCATCATGCAGGAAGTCGTCTTCTGTGTTAACGAACTGACAACGTCACGTCGTCTTCCGTAGACGTTTCATCACGTTTACGCATCACTCGGCTCGTTGATGTGAGAGAAAAAGACGAGGAAAATGACGTGATGAAGGAAAAAGTTGATAGAAGGATCAGAATTCGCGTCTGTGCTCGCGACTTGCTAAGTTGGAGCGTGCCTCTATGTGAACTCGTGTTGCTGAAAACCGTCCAGGAGGTCATTATTTTCTTGACCTAATAATCACACCCACTCATTATAAGATTTTTCAGCTTTCAAAAGTGCCAGATTAGGCCGATTTATTTCTGTTTACGTAAACGGGAAACTGTTTCCGACTTGAAGAACTTATTTTTGTAAAAGTCAAACTCTTTTTAGTTCACGTTTGACTTCCTTCTTTCTTCAGTTTTAACAGTTTCTGGCATCACAAATTTTTATTTATGTTAACAGGAAAACAACAATAATTAACTATAATTAAACGAAACGATAAGACATTAAAGTGACATAATATTTATTAATAACAATATCGATGTTTACACAAATACCAATTATGATCATTATTCTTTCTGAAAAAGCGTCTGCACCAATTTTCTAGTTGATGAAATTTTTTTTCGTGAATTGTGCTTTTTTTCATTTTGTTACACTCCAATTTAAAAACAATTGATTTGCAAGAGTCAAGCGCTGTTTTGCCCATAACCTAGATTTCGTACCATTTGAAATGGGTCACCGTTCACCGCGTAATATTAAAGGAACTGTTTCTTCAGTATTTTTATTTAAAGTTATTTAAATCAATGTAATTCTAAAATTACATTATTGATGTGTTTATTTATAGCACCTTCAGGTAAAAATGAAATCATTCTCAATGTTTTGAGAATAAATAATGGTACTACCAGTGTCACTAAATACAAAAAATTAAACGTCTAGCAACGTCTTAAATTTTTAACAAAGTTTTCTGCCTTAGTTGAAACTTTTTGTTTGCTTATATTTAATATTTCAAACAAGTTAAGTTAATTAACGCAAGTTATGTTCGTTATAAATTACGACAATAATGGAATTACAAATTTGCAAACAGAACTTTAATTGATATTGGGAGTATGCACAGCCGTTACACGTAGCAAAATTTAGTCCCCCTTCTAATCCTAATTATTAACAGAATAAAAGATCAAAAAATATCAAATTTTTTTGTATTAATAAGATGACAGAAATATTTAGAAAATGTTTCAAACATTTCTAAAGGAAAGCTGTAGACACTCCATTATTAATATTTAATTATTAATTAATGAAATAAAACACTTTTAATTAGTTATTAGTAGCTAATTAAAATTATACCCTGCCAGATAATCACAGTCACGTAATCGAAATTCCCTCCACTTCTTTTCGAACTATGGACTGTGTCAAGTTTAGCCTCGAGTTTAACACTTTTTAGCATTACATCAATCGAATACCCCGTAGTTAAAAGAATAGATAATGTAACATGAAATTTCGTTACGCCACTACCACCTTCCATTACCTTACATCACCCATGTTTGCTCCAGTTTCACGTTTAATAAAGACGGGAAGAACGAGTTCATCGAACACAATACCTTGTTTTAATCCATCTTTTGTGTTCATCCATATAAGAGTCTAATGCGTGATTTACAAGAGAGACCATGAGCGAGGAGCGCACTTGCTACTCGTGGGAAAAGTGCGCCACTTCCTCATTCAAATAAGTGATAGGACCGTTAGCCACTGCAAACTGTAATAGAAACTGCACTGCGCAAAATGCACACAAGTCCAGAGAAGAGACTCGCCTACGTAATTATATTGCTGCTGATTCTGACGGTAAAACAGCAAATATGCGGAAAGAGGATGACTTCTGATGGTCAAGAATTTTTACTTTTGTGGATGCGATGTTGATAAACCGAGTTTAGCTGACCAAACCGGACTTGGACTCTTTTATAAAACTCTTCTTGCAGATGGGATCTCTTCGTGGAATCTAATTATTAGGAGTACCGCTACGTGTGCGTTACTCGCTTTTGAAAAAAAACACGAATTTTGTATACGCTTTGTAGTTTATTGCAAGAATTCTATTGTCGATGCTAGCTTTTGAGTTTTTTCCTTATAAACAACAAATCAATTTTGTTATAAAGTACCTAATTCCAATAAGGTCCGGTGCTTAAAATTGCCCACCGTTAATTTTTTGTCTAAATTGTGGAGAAACTGATGCGTCATCCTGTTGGATGTTAAAATTAAATATTTCTAGTTACATATTAATTGTTTTGAAGTTTCTTTACTTTTTTTGTATTTTTTATGTTGTTTTTTGTTTGTTTATTAAAGATTTTTTCCTACTGTTAATATGATTAATGAAAAATCCTATCTCAAATTTTAAATATGGTCCTTATCTAATGTCGATGTTTATCTAATGTCGATATTTGTGGCTAGGAGGTTCCAAAAAAGGCCCTTTGTAATATTTTATATTTATGTTAAAAACATGTAGAAATATTAACAAAACAGGCATTTTTGTGGTACACATTTTTAAACAAAAATCCAAATTATAATTTCGATAATAAATCCAAACCTTTGCATATTTCAAAAAATATATAAAAAATCGTAAAAATTAAGTGGGCCTTATTTGGCTAAGTTACCTTACATGTCGTAGGCTAATTGTAAATTCAGTCGTTTTATAAAACGCCTATTCATTTTGAAAACGACTGGGCAAATTGTAAATGAATGAATAAATGCAGGGTTTTTACAATATGACGGAAAATTTTAGGCGTATTATAAAAAGCCTAATAAGTTTTCGTCTTATTGTAAAATGTTTTTAAATATTCTCCATTTAGAAAATCACTGGTTACATTCAGTCGTTTTGTAAAAGACTGAAAAATATTATTTTATAAGATACCAATTTCTATTGTAGTTAGATAATCTATTAAAAAAAAACAAAGTCAAATGTTAAACGTTTTTAATCAATATAAAAAAGACATATTTCAAGGAAAAAAAAAACAAATAAATTTTCTTAACAATTTCATCGTACAGTTGCGGTATTAAAATTTGGGACAGTATTGTCATTTTCAATATGTAACTTCATTTTTTACTCTTGTCATGTTTATGTCATTTTGACTTATTTATTTTCAAAAATTTTGATTTGTGGCATAACCACGAGTAGGCAGCAGATCAAAGCGATGATTTAATTACACTTAGTTCAATTAATAAATTTCCTAAGACAGACAAATTGTTTAATTAACAATTTTAACAACAAAAAAAGGTTAATTATCAAATGTCTGTCAATAAGAGGTAGTTTACACTGAACTTTTTAAAGTTAATCTGTGACCCAGCTTTGTTTTGTGAACAACCAGGCAAATTGTAAATGAATGAATAAATGCAAGGTTTTTACAATAACACGGAAAATTTTAGACGAATTATAAAAAGCCTAATAAGTCTTCGTCTTATTATAAAGTGCATGGTTAATTTTTACCAAGTGAATAAAAAGTATGGAACCAAGCGTTTTTTTCGTAAACTAAGTACTTTACGAAAAAAATAATTAGTGTAACGTTAAGTGCAATTAAAATGTGACCATTTATCAAAAATAAAATTTTTCGAAATTTCTTTTAGTTTTCAGGTCATAATCTTTAATTAAAAAAATTACCATGGTGGGTTGCCATTGAATAAATTTTTTTTTCCAGAACTCGAAAACTAAAAGAAATTTCGAAAAATGTTATTCTTGATAAATGGTTACATTTTAATTTTACTTTACGCTACACCAATTATTTTTTTCGTAAAGTACTTAGTTGATTCCATACTTTTTATTCACTTGGTAAAAATTAACCATACACTTCATAATAAGACGAAAACTTATTAGGCTTTTTATAATTCGCCTAAAATTTTCCGTGATATTGTAAAAACCTTGCATTTATTCATTCATTTACAATTCATTTGCCCGGTCGTTTTCAAAATGACTAGGCGTTTTATAAAACGACTGAATTTCCAATTAGCCTACGACATACATAAAGTTTGAAAAACAAGCATTTTTTGATAAAAAAAAAGTCTCAGAAATGTGGTCGTTTTAAGTTAAATTTCTATTTAGATGTGTAGAGTAAACTCTAAAATCCTTGTCTTTGTCGAAAAAAAAATTCATAAGGAGATATTTAAAAAATAAATAAATGCAAAACTTAAAAACAAAATTATATAGTAAAAAATTACGTCCAATTATGTACCAACACAAGTGGTTGAAATTTTATTTTCCCCCAACAGTTGAAAATCTTTAGTCCCCCAGAATGCAAACTGCAAATGGGATCTCCGCTGATAAATCGTTCAATATGCTACGGAACAAAGCCACTTATCTTATTTGACAAATCCTCGTCTTCGTATAGATAGCTGTTATCATTCAGGAGACCTTTCGGACACATATAGTTTGTGAGTGATAGTCCTATTGGTGATTTACAGATACTGATTTAAGACTTGCTATTACAACTGGATTTGCCTTGATTTATGTGGCAGTTAAGTAAGTTCATCTGTTTTCACATTTTGGAAAATCTTGTTTGAATAGATATCCCTGAAGGTTTTTTTTTTTAAGATTTAATTAGATAGTGGTTGTTGAAAGCACGCGGTAATTACCTGTACTGGTATACGACGCAGTGATGCAAAGAATTAAGATCAAGAACCTGTAAACGATTAGTCGGCATATATGCAAGTTTTAGTAGTGTTATGTATGAATGTGCAACCTGCAACAAGGTGCAACAAGAGACCCTGGAGCGTACGCCTCAGCTAGAGCAATGATCTCGCAGAACGTGACCGTTGCACTGAGGAAAAACTATGCCTTAACACTCTTGACAATCCTAAACCAAACTTCGTGAATAATTAAAAACTGATATCAGCGACGAATTTACGAAAATTTTTTCAACATTTTAAACGATATTTTGAAAATATAGCTCATGTTCAACCCCGCCACTGCATGTGCGGCAATTAAATCTCAGTGTATGCAGTAAAACCAATTTATCTATTACACTCGGCCCTGAATTTGATCAACACCCAGTCGTGCTATTTAGGTTAGTCTTTTCCTTTCGGCCTTGTTCTTATTGCACACGATATGAGATGCCCTTCGTACGTGACTGCCTCAAAAGTTGTTATTTGCGAGGGTGGAAGCGGAAATATCGTCGTCTCACATGTAACAAACTTGTTGAATTGTTATTGTTTGCAGGGTCATTATTTTCCTTTATTAGGTTGATTCTTATCTTTTCGTACATTTTTCCAAAAATAGAACTGTTTTCTTCAATCTATTTTTACAGTCATTTGCATGTTTATGCAAATTGATAAAAGGGTAAGTCCAATCTTCTTGAAAGGTAGAGGTGCCACAAGAGCGGCCAAGTGACGAGCTTGGTGACTTGTGGCCGCTGCGCACAATCAATACGAGGGCAGGCCGGACGGACGTCTCGAGGGACGAAAACGACTGGTATGGATGGTCGGTTGGATATACACTTCCTTCATTAGATGCAAGTGAAGTGTGCGAGAATAGAAAATGAGCCGGAAATTTATTACTAGTTATTTATATCTGCAATTTGCAAAACCTGTCATTTTTTTAATTACCTATATTTTATATAGTGTGCCCCCGGATAGGTGAAACGACTCTTGTAAAAGATTTTCATGTTTTTATTATTTTATTTTATAATTTTAGTTTTAAAAAATCAAGTATGACTTGGATTATTTTTTAAAAACTATTTTTCTCCAGAGTAAAGTACCTTTTATGAGGCAAATACGACGAAAAGTTATTAAGAAAAATTATTTAGAATCAACATTTAGGCCCCTGTACCAAATTTCTAAATCATCGGCCAACAACTTTTCTTAATAACTTTTTCTCATATTTGCCACAAAAAAGGCATTTTACTCAATAAAAAAAATTATTTTTTGAAAATTTCCAAGACATACTTAATTTTTCAAAACTAAAATTATGTTAAAAATTAGACTTTAACCAAGAAGGCTAAACCACACAAAATTAAAATTTGAATCGAAAATCTTTTATCTTTTACAAGAGTACACACTGTAGATAATTGTTTTAATATTCTTGTTCAAAAATTAAATAAATGGTTAGTCGTTTCGTACCAAACGACAAAACTAAAGCGTAACTCTGTGAAATTACATTTGTTTCGCAGCCACTAAATTTAACTTTTTCGAAGAACAAAGAGTTCCTTGTAAATGATTCGAGTAATAAAAGTAACAGAAATTTTTAAATTACACACATGTTTCCATTAACTAAATGTCAAATGATTTTTACAATCAAATGTAGAAGAATGTATCACTAGCGTGTTTATATTAATCAATGTCAGTCAAACCTGATGGTCATTAAACTACTCGTATTTTACAGTTGTTTTATGGTTAATAAACGGTAGGAAAATGGGGACCTGTTGATAATCCCTAATTTAATACCCAAGAAAATAGAATAAATACTTTTTTTACTCGAAGCCCAATATAATTAAATCGTCATTTAATTAAATTGCTCTTGTGCATTTGTCTGGTTGGTTTGCAACACTTATTTCTTATTAATTTTGTGTCTGAATATGGAAAATATATAAATGCAAATTAAAAGACAAAAACAATTTTAGACGTATCAAAGAAGATGGAAACGATGTAGCTAATAGATATTGTTAACTGTTTTCTACACCCACGACAAAAACAATCTTATTTTAGAGTTTCTACGTGTTCATAAATGATATGAATTGACTTTTTGTCAAAATATTTGATTAAGAAAAAAACGCATTTTGCTATTTGCTAAAATAAAACAACAGAACTGTTAATTATTACCATACAAACATAAGAATGAGTATCTATTGTTAGAAAAAATATTTAACCTTTTAATTTTTAATTAAAGGAAAACGTACAATATTCAACTATGTAATAAATTATAAATAATAATAAGATTTGATGATATGATAGTAAAATTTCTATTTTTTAAAGTCCAGTCTTATATAAACTGACAGATTGATTAGCTGATACTAATGAAAATAATGACAAGTCAAATAAGAAATGTTCATTAACTGCAATTAGTAAAAATTGCATTTCACTGCAATAATTTTTTTCTCTTAGAAATGAGGATAATTACAACGATCAATCAACGAAACATCATTTTTATATTAATAAATGAAAAAATACAGCCAACAATAATTGGCTGTAATGATAAATTTTAATTGTTTCTGTACAAACTATTTTTATTTATAAAAAAAACTATTATCAAATTAATCAAGACTCAGATGTAACTTCTATTTGTGGTAACCCATATAGAGGTGTCCCATAACTCTGTTATAAACAGAGGGCAACGAAAAAGTCTGCTTACAGCTGAACATTAATTACACAAATAATTGCTTCTATTTTGATTGAAAGTTTACAAAATTTAGTTCAACGTACTCATTATTGTCAGGAAGTAAATGGAAAACGTTTTGACACCTTTTTAAGAAAACAATGTACATATTAGATCTTTTCCAAACAACTTTATATCATCAAAAAAAATTGAGAGAAGAAATTTGAAAAAATATTTCACATGATAGCACTTCAATACTTTTAATCAACTATGTACCAAATTCCCAAATATGTCCATATTTTTTGGCGATCCCTTGTCTAAGAATTGCTTTTACAACCTGTTTTTACCTTTTTTATTACTGATCAATTAAAACAGTGATCTGAGTACAACCATAAAACTGAAGATAAGTGATACGACTTTATGTGGAACAATCAGAAAAAAACTAAATAAATAAAAATAAAGAACGTTAAAAACTATACTATTCCTATAAAAACGTTGCTAATTCTTTAAAACTAAATCATTTTGCTAAGGTTTCGTTAAACGTTAATGGCTGATATACAAGTTCTCATTCTCCGTCTCTCAGGGTTTGTATAAAATGTTCAATGTATCTCTTTGCCCTATTTTAGTCAAAAATTAAGACAGATATAATCATGAGACATTTACATAATTCGTTTCATACGATAATTTTGCGTAAAGTTTGCAAGGCGATTGTTCTATTGTCAACGCTATAGTTCTACCTTAACAAAACCAAGGATAGCATCAAGCATGTGTCAATTATTGCAACGTGATACATATTAATGTATATAAATGAAGAACACACTTGAAATACAATGGATGGCTATAATCAACATAAAGAGCGTATATCCCTAATACATAATAACATAAGCCAATCAGTGTGTCGCTTGTTGATTAAATATTGATCCGGTTGTCATTTGCACGAGGGTCAACAACACAGGGCGCGTCAAGTGACTTCCCATCACTGACCGGAGAAAGACAAAACTTTATAATTTAACGTTTTTACATTTCCGCCAACGTAACATAAAAATTAGTTTACCTGAATAGCGTGTCCGTGATTCTGCTGACTTATATGGAGTTGCTGCGCTTGATTTATCTGTAAGGTGGTTCCAGAATTGTTGCCTCCGGGTCCGGAAGGCGGTCTCGGGGGAGTACCGCCACCGAAAGCGCCACCACTCGTCGATCCAGTACTACTTCTCGGTAAATAACCTGGACTGCCATGACTACTCGCACTGGGACTGCTATAAGGAGAATATTGTTGCTGTTTGTAAATTCCTGCTCCCTTTCGTTTCATGTCAAAATCGTTCCCTTGGAAGATCATCTCCTGTTTGATCATGTCGGGTTGTGAGAAGTTCGGACTGTTTTTATGGAAGTTGGGGTTTGAATTGGGACTTCCGTAGTCACCTTGAAACTGGAAATCGGGGTAAGGTGACCTGGAATTCGGCGCTCTGGTATTGGGGTTAAAAGTCATCCCCATTTGATTCTTATGTTGGTGTTGTTCGGCCATTTGTTTGAGGGTTTGTGCGGCCGGACTAAGTTCAGTCTTGCAGAAATCAATGTTGGAATAAGAAGGCATCCGCGTTTTGTTGATGCCTCCTTGATTTTCGAAGACTGGGGAATAATTATTTTGATTGGATACTAAAGGACTATGCGTGGATTTCGCGTTATCTGCCACCGGTTGTTGCAGATCTTTAATGTCTTCCACTTTCAAACCGTTAACACTCGCGTTAACCTCGGATTTATCTTCGAAATCAAAGTCTTTCATTAACTCGGGATAGTTGCTAATATCTGAGATGAGATCGTTGAACGCGTCAGAGGTGATGATTTCGTCGTTGGTGTCTTCTCCGATGAGGTCGGAGAAGCCACCAAAGCCGGTGCCACCGTTGGCGGCCGCATCCTTCTCTAACGCTGCGGCACATTGGTCCAAATCGGCAAAATCGTTATCGGGTTCTTGTTTCACGCACTCAACCAAAGTGCCGACATCGAGACCGATGTTGGATTTTTGCTGGAGATTGGACGCCGGCGTCGATGGGTTCGACTTTGGGGATGAGACGTCGCTCTTCACCGAGGCGTTGGTGTGTGCCTTCACCGTCACGTTGGTGGAGATCTGCTGAGGCTGGGAATTGGCTGCCGACGTCGTGAATTCGAGCTGTTGGACGATTTCGACGGAAAATTTCGTCAAACCTTCGTTCTGATGAGAACCGTGCTGCTGAGTTGTGCACTGGAGTTTCACCGGTGGCTCGAAGTTGTCAGCTGACCCTCCCGGATCGTGCTCTTCCGCCGATCGTTTCAAGAATTTCTGCTGCTGCAATAAAAAATATATGCTTTCACTAAAAATGTTTATTGTTTCGATGTAGAACGGATTGCAAAATGATGAGATATACCAAAGTACGCGACATGTGCAACTTTTTGCTGAAAGATAACGATTTATACCTCCTACTCATGCTAAAAAAACACATTCAACATTAGGTCAAATTTGAGATTTCACTGCAATAAAAGGTAACTAAATATGTAAGTATATGAAGAAAATGGCAACCAATTCGATTTTTTGTCCATCCAAAAATTAGTTTACATTCATTTTTACTGTTATTTAGGAATCTGTCAAGAATGGTTTTCTTGGCTAATAAACAGAAATTTGCTGATGACTTTAAATCTTGTTGAGAAATGAATAGCTTCCAAGGAGGAAGACTAGGAAAAAGATTTCACCACAAGTAGCAACTCTGGTAAAAACCTATTGCACCGGTTGTTAAAATAAAATCATAATGAATTGACCCATTTACATGTACCTACATTTTTTGCTATTTGCAGTAAGCCTTATTTAGATCGATCAGCAACTAATGAAAGTCGTTTTTTACTCATTAATTCTGAATATTTTCTACAAGCCGAAAGCAAAGGGAAAGACACTTTCATCACATGATAATTAAACAAAGTATCTGTAATGGCAAATAGCTTCAGAAAATACATGTCCGGAAAGTCGCGCACGTCCTTAAAAGGGAGTAATCGGGTGTCCCCCAGAGTACTGAAAAAATGTTTAAAAATTTCTATCTTTCAAAAAAATTTGACATTTGATATTTTTTTATGTCTATTTAATGATACTGATGATTTTGTATATGTTTTTTTTTTATAATTATTTCGTAAAGGTAGAAAAATGTTGCTAATAAAAGCCACAAATAACATTTAAACAGAGTTACAATTTAGAATAGGCTTCCTCTTCTAATAGCCTGTAGCAAAAAAACTTGGAAAATTATTTTTCTAACAGAAATAAATAGAATCAAAATGCAAAATTTAAACTCTCATAACTTCGAAATTTTTATAGATAGATTTTTTCAAACAATTTTCTTGTTGTCTAGGGCACCGCCCGATGATACAGTGTCACGGAGATGCGCGACTTTCCGGACACCTGTATTTTTACAGAATGAAACAAAATTACTCAAGGAACAAAATATGTATTTTCTATTAAAAAATAAGATCTTTCTTCTCTATTATTTAATCACAAATAGTCTTGTAAGTTTTAGATGTTATTGTCTTATTGCATTACCCTTCTACGTATTGACACAAATACCAAACATTTTTTAATTTTTGTGTTTCATCAATTATTTTATACTACATCATCTAGTATTCATAACTATATTTATTAAAAACATAAAATAATTTGAGAAAAGTAAGAATGTAAAGATCATACGTGCAACACTACATAGCTAAAAAACAATTTCGAAGCAACTTCGATCTGTATTTCATAATTTTATTTTTCACTTCTTAAACCGTTTAACATGTAAACTTCTTGCATTTGGATAAGAAGATCTGGCTTAAATAATGCTAACAACAAAATCCAATATTATTTTAAATAAAAAATATATTTAAATACTTATAAAAGCTTTTTTAGGATACTGAATTGGTAACAACATAGTTACAAATAGGTCCGGTAGATAAAATTTACCAGTCTAGGCCGGTAATAGTCTACTACTCGCTGGTAACTACGTAAACACTAGTTAAATTTTTGTTTTCATGAATTTTTGTTAAATTTGAAAGTGATCGTTGCAGTATCCTAAAAATTTTGCCAAACATACAGATCTCGCCTTACGGCTCGACCTGTAAAGTATTGGTGCGGCCATAAAAATGTTGTTACCGCTCTAATACAGCAAATAGCTATTTAGTTCTATCCAGTACCACTACAGAAAAACATGTCCCTTTTAAACAAATAATAATAAAATTGGACCTTCTGTAGGAAAGTCCAGTGTCAATGGTCAGTGCACCGGATGCCATTATGCTCTTTATTAACTCCTCTCGCCCCCAACAAATCTGATTGAAATTTTCTATTGAGCGCTTTTGGTAAATGAATTTTAATTAGATCGGTTTTTAATAAAAATTCTGTTTCAAATAATTTTGTGTTGTTTTTAATTTCTCATTTACATGAATGTAAAATACATTCTGTACGTTTCACTGACAGAACAGAAAGTTTATCAAACTTTATTGGTTTAATAAAGGTGAAATTTGATATGAAATTGTAAGTAGAAAACGTACTTTTAAATCGATTTTGCGTTCGAAGAAAATTACACAACTACACAAACAACATTAGATTCATGAAAACTAACGCAAGCACTAATTTACGTAAAACTTGTCCTTCCTCCTCAGTGTTTGCAATTGTTATGTGAATTTCTTAAATCAGTTAAAACTCGAAAAAAAAAAAGAACTTTTGCAATCATAAAAAAGTTTTAATCTTGGGCGACAATCGGGAATGTCAGACACCAGCACGTATGCAGAAATAGCCACTCACCCTGCACAATGGGCCACTGAGACCAGTCATTAATTTTAACTTGGAGTTAACTTTGAAGTTATAGAGACAACTTTACTGGTATGCAGAACAACGTTAATGGTGGAGGATAATAACGTGTATACGTGACAGAAACGCAAAAAGTCATTTCTATTTAGTATATAAAATTGTTACAATTCAACGAATCTCATTGTATTTTCCTTCACTCTTCTTCCAATTTACAATCCGAGCAAATCAGCTTTTTTCTATTCTCCGAAAAGCATACAATTTCGAATTTCGTATTCCGACGATGTTCAAATAAGCATTGACAAGAACACACGAGTAGTGTTCACTATTTCCGCGACGAAACGATGGCGTTGTTCATGTGGGAGAGAGAGAGGCAGGGCCGGGGTCGAAACGGACGTCGTATCGTATGTATATACTTTTATCTGGTCTGTGTTACAGTTGGCAACAGCGCAGAGGAGTTTATGAGCTCGCAATGCAGGTGCACTGTTGTAATCTGTAAACTGAGATCGTCACACGCCGCTCTGTCGTAAACTACAATAAACAGCGCCCTTCTTCTGCTCTACCCGATGTGTTTGTAATTTGCGCCGTGAACCTTGCGCTCTATATGCCACCACAGCCAAGAAAACGCGAATATTAGTAGTTCAAGGGAGAAGTTTACAAATGAACCAGCCAATCGATCACTTCCACACAATTAAAAAAAAAACTGAAGCTCTTGTAATAATAATCAGGCAGTTAATCATAGGGACTACGCATCCAACCCAATGACTTTTTTTAAAGGACGACTTCCACCCTGTTTATCTATATTTAAAAATCTGTTTTTTTATACATATTTATATTATACATGGAAGACACTTTATACATGAATAAATTTAGGTCAACAATAGACTAACTCAACAATAAACAGTTAATTACGAAGTCTGTCTATACACGTGACGTTAACAAAGGAAACAATAAATTTGATCAGCAATCACGTTATTTTTTAACATTTCGTTTTGTTATGCAAAAGTTTAAAGATGCATTTTTATTCAAATGTGCCATTGTGTCAAGAAACTGGTTTTTACGTCAGCTGAAACGACGACACTGAAAATATATAGATTTTTATCGTCGGCGACTCTTACTTTTACTTAGAATTAAAAGCAGTAAAAGAAGTACAAATGTAGGGAAACAGGAGTGTTCAAGAAAATACGAAAAGTCGGAGAAATTATTTTACAACTGCTTTCTCGATACTTGGCAAAAGTAACGTTAAGTTAAACAAGAAAGTCAATATGCATAGTCGATTTTGATAAAAAAGTGTTCTACACAATGAAAAGCTGTATCCATTATTAACTGTTCAAGTTACCGTTAAAATTAAAATGTTTAGTTCCTGTTACATTAACAAATGGTTAAATTTTCACGCTCTGTTGTTTGAAGAGACAAGGAATTGACAATTTTAAATTAATTATTATCAAAGCAAAAGGATAGTGAACTCTTTGTACCTGTATGAAAAAATAATGAAAATATTCATTTAATTCGTCAACCAAAAATTTACTTCATTGTGGAAAAATAAATTTGCAAAAAGTTTTAATTCAGAAAGTCAGTATAGTAATAAGAAAATCATTCCAAACATTCTTTATTCCTCTTTCCAGTGATTTTTTGTTTAATTTATACTGAATTTTTGAAATTATGAAAAGATACATGAACGAGGTAAAGTAAGTACAACAAGTTTTGTGAATTTAAATTTCTATACCAATGATTGTATTTTTTTCTTTTCTTAGCAGGTAGGTACTGAAAAATTATTCAACTTTTTTTGACTTATTGAAAACATAGAGTATTAGTTAGATACATATTTTATATCAAACAACTACATACAGGGTGCACCAGAACTCGCGCCCCAAAGAAAAAGTAAGATAAGATACCAGAAACATGAAAAAAATGTTTAAAAAATTCTGTAAAAAAAATTAAGATTTATTTTTTGATATTTGACATTTTTTTATGTCTATTTAATGATACTGATGATCTTGTATATGTTTTTTTTTTATAATTATTTAGTATAAAAATTCTATCTATAAATATTTCGAAGTTATGAGAGTTTAAATTTTGCACTTTGACTCTATTTATTTCTGTTGAAAAAATAATTTTTCAAGTTTTTTTTTCCAGTCTATTAGAAGAGGAAATAAGGAAGAGGTATCCTAAATCGTAACTCTGTTTAACGTTATTTGTGGATTTTATTGGCAAAATTTTTGTACCTTTACTAAATAATTATAAAAAAAACATATAAAAGATCATCAGTGTCATTAAATAGACATAAAAAACAGTCAAAGGTCAAAAAATAAATGTCAAATTTTTTTGACAGATAGAATTTTTTTAACATTTTTTTCATGTTTCTGGTATCTTATCTTACTTGAAATTTTTCTCTGGGGCGCGATTTCTGGTGCACCTGTATAAATACCAAAATAAAGTTTTTTGACCTTTAAATAGCATTAGGTCCCCCTTTGGCAATCAAACTGAATTCTGTCATAAGACATATTTGTGTTTTTTTGTAAAATGCC